AGATCAAAAATAGGTTCACATTGCTTTGTCTTATTTATACAAAGGACTTGCTCCTGTAAAAGTGTAAACTAGGTTTATTCAGATCTTTGCGGGGAGGAGGAAAATTTACCCTTTTGGCTGTTTAGCCTTTAAGAGCTTCGGGCCTGCAATTTTCTCTTTGCCTGCTGTCTAATAGTCTCATATGAACCCGGATGAATCTGAGAATGAAATGTGATCAGCAGAGGAGATCATAGAAGCTATCATCACTGTACACACACACACCCTTCATGAACCATTTGTGTGTAATGTAGAGCTCCAGAGTGTTATCGGTGAACTCTGACCCTAATTCATCTCCATTTTCATCACATACACACAGAGAGAGAGAGAGAGGGAGACGAACACTCAGAATCCTGTCAGCATGGAGTCACTGGCAATTTCAACCAATTTATCTCATGGTTTCACAAGGGCCAGTGGGAGGTGGAAATTGTTCCTGGCTAACCATTTCTCTTTTCTTCCCTCCATCCAAATCTTTTCTTCTCTGCGCTGCTCTCCGTTTCTCCCTTCAGTGGGCTTTAATCTCATACAATCAGCTTACCTGTACATAGTGAGCTGGTGAATGGCTCTCTCTCTCTTCGAAAAACAGTTTGACCGGTCAAACTAGGGCTGCCACGCTTCATTAACTACCATCAAGCTTTGCCTTGCTGTATATTTGTGAAAGCAAAAACAGGCAGATAGTTTGAGAAAGCTCATTCCTGCATCTTTGATCTTTCGCTATCTTTCTCAGCATTTCACAGCATGTCAGTTTTGTTTTAAAGGATGTGCTTAAATGTGAAGCTTCATTATCAGAAGAGACAATGGTAGACAACAATGTCTTTCTCACACTTTATGATTCTGACTTTTTTTGACAGCCAGCAGGAGGCAAATGTATTATTAATTTTTGAATCCCTGTTGTCTTCAGCCTATTTGTCTGGGGTCCTGCTGTTCCATCTTATAAAGTATTCAATTAAATTATACTGCTCTTGAAAAACAGTTAGACCTGCCAATAGGTATGTGTTTTGAGTAAAATGTTCATTTGTGCTTTAATTTTATTTCTACTGAAATGAAATGAAACAGGACATCGTCTGATCAGCTCTTCTTTCAGTCTCTTTCACAGTTTGCTGACTGTAGTCGGTTTCTAATCCATAATTTTGTCAGCAAGAGATTCCAGAGATTTTCAGTCAGGTTTAGATCAGGACTCTGGGCTGGCCATTTTAACATTAAAATGATTTCAGCTTCAGTGAACTTGTTTATCGATTTGGATGTGTGACAAGACTCATTTCCTGCATATAAAGTGGGTGAGTGATTGAATTGAGTGACAAATGCAGGGAAGAATTTCTGAAGGAGCTTATGATTAATATTTACGTTCATTCTACAATTGCAAAAAAAAAAATTCATCTGTGTTCTCTGTTTTTTTAAAATATCTAATTTAAGTTTTTATACTGTGCCTCACATATGTAACTCATGAAATAACCCTTGTGTATGATTAGAAAATTCAGTGCATCACATGATCAGCTGCTAAATTCAAATCTCCCACAATGACTTGAGCTGAATCATAAAAGGATGGATGTGACACTTGTCATATATCACCATTTACTGGTATTTTAAAACAAATAAAATTTGTTTAAGTTTTCAGACTTTTAAATACACACAAAAAAGTAAAATACAGTGAAAAAAAAAATTTAAATTTAAATAAGAATTTTTTTTTTTCCACAGTGATGCCTCTTTTTGGAGAAGCCTGTGTCATTTCCAGTCAAAAAAAACTTGCTGGTTGAATAAAAGTATTATATAATATTTATGGTTTGTAAATTGCATGCTTGATTCACATTAGATAGACACTTTTTATGAAACTAAAAACTTTACACTATTGTCTACCCAGTTTAACAGAAACTTTTTTAAAATTTTTAACCCCTCTTTGAAATTGTTTTTCTTTTTAAATATTTATCAAATTATGTTTAACAGAGCAAGGAAATGTTCACAGTATGTCTGATAATATTTATTTCTACTGGAGAAAGTCTTATTTGTTTTATTTCAGCTAGAATAAAAACAGTTTTTATTATTTTTTTTACATTTTAAGGTCAAAATTATTAGCCCCTTAAAGGTATATATTTTTTTCGATAGTCTACAGAACAAACCATCGTCATACAATAACTTGTATAAGGGTTAAAAGAAACTTTACTTATACTACTGTCAGGTTAACCTCAAATAGGACTAAGCAGTGACCTTGGAGTTTAGGAAATTGTAGGCTGTACTCTAATTTCGATCTCAATGTGTGCGCTTGTTCAAACAAAGAGCAAAGTTTCATTATTTGTATTGATCTCTCCCTTTAATGCATATACGCAGGGGAGTTTTCTGCATAGAGAATTACAAGCTGCATGGAGAATTACAGCTCTGCCTTTTGAACAATAGTCAGATATACAGTCCAGTTTGTGACAGACCCCAGTTACCCTCAAGCACTGGTCATCAATTTGATTACATTTTATGTTAGCTTTTTAAAAAAAAAAATAAGATAAGATTACAAGAATAATGCTAAATGTTTTTATCTGAAGTAGCAAAAATGTTTCACCTCCACCTGTCCTCCATGAATGAATGAAGTGTGTTTCAATGAATCAGTTATGACTAAAATCATCAACACTTATGTATAAATGACCAATCTGTCTGTGTATCAACTCATATATTCACTCATATTGGCAAAATCAACATTTTTGACTTCTGAAACTTCCAGCATCTTTTTAAAGTACAACACTTTTGCCATCAGAGGAAGAAAACTCTGTTTCTTATGGCCCTGTTGAGGTGTTAAAATCCTCAAAGTCAAACAGCGCTGGAAGATATTCAATTGCCAGACAGATGTCAGAGCAGCTCCACAGATTGTGCCATCAGTCAGGACAAGGTTGGGTTATAGCTGAGCATTTCTCATCCTCACGAGGACCACATCACCTTGATACCTTGAGCAAGAGGGCTATTAAGTCTGATAAGTATAGGCAGAAATGGACAAGTGAGTATTTTTCAAACACACCGCAACCCTTTATGCGAAGACAGAAAGGAGAAAATATGGGATGAATTGAAAGACGAAGCGGAAGCTTGAAGATCACAATGGATGAAAGAGATGGCAGGTGGCTGAAGGTTATAACAGAGAAAGGAAATAGAGTGAACAGATTTTAAAGTACCCTCCAAGAAAAATCAGAGAAGTCAAAAGAGTGAGTGAAGATGACGTTTACGGGAACGTCTGAGATTAGCGAGGGCATCATTTTTCTCTCAGGCAGATGGTGTCATGCAGGGAGACCGCTTTCCAGAGACTGCATACTCATGGCATGTTAGGGCATCAAAAATAGAGACAGATATGACACGTCCTCAGCTGTTTGCTCATCGCTGACATTGTAAATCAAGCCTCCTGTACTGGAGACTAAATATCTGACTTTGACTTTCAGTGCTTGTTTTGTTTTATTGCAGTCATTACAGTACATGATGGTTTCCCTGTCAGCTTTGGCCAGTTCCCACATGCTGACAAATGGCCACAAGCTACTTTCTCCATCTGGACAAATTGAAGTGATTCAGAGACATATGCTGGAGTTTCATATTGATCTGTTAAGACCCCAAGGAGGTCTTTAATTCCTGGAGCGATGTTATTCGGGTAGCACAGGATCAACTGAAATTTACCATTTAAAATCACCCACCAGAGATGCTGTTTAGCCACGATGCGACTTAAAAGCTAAGTGTTTGATCACATTGCAGCCAGTTGATATCATGGTAATGTAGATTAAATTAAATATTTGTTTTAATGATGGAAATGATTTGATATTTAATTACCAATAAAATATTTTCTGCATTATCCTGTCCTCTCTTGTATTTGTTTTTCTTGCAGCCTTTATTTCTATTATTATTTATTTATTTTATTTTATTTTTTTTTATTTTTTTTGGTGGACTTGAATAGGTTAGTGGCATTGCAAAGATGTAAAATTCTAGAAATCACAGATATGAAATGAACTGCTTCTCTTGCTCTGGCTGAAAGATTCATCTCTTTGGCCTTCATCTGGACAACCTGCTGTCGGAGGGTTTCAGCCTCTAAAGAATGGCTTTCCATTCTGAAACGGCTGTGGTAACTGGACAGATACTTAGAGGTGCAGTATGTAAGTTTGACACCCAGTGGTTGGACTAGGTATTGAATTCCTGAATCTAAACAAAGGGAAAACCAGACTGAGGACGTCTGGAAGTCGTGTACTAACTAAAAGCAACAGCACACGATAAAAGGAATATTCTCCATTTTAAATGGAGTTTTTGTTCTAACCAACACCTCGAATTGATATATTAGAAACGGCTTCTATTTCTTGCAGCTGAACAACAGAAAACTGACAATGGTCACCTCAGGTACACCTCATGTGCTTCATTCAGTGTTAAATGCTAACAATGTGAATGAACAATTACACTTGTGCTGTAGTTTTACAGCACAATTGTAATAATCCATTTACAATGCACTATCAATTTTACACTATACTGTAACTGGCATTTTTTTCAGTTTTATGGGCAAAATGTACAAGTGCACCCTAAATTAACAGTTACAATGGTGCTGTAGTTTTATAGCACAATAGTAATAATTCATTTACAGTGCAATTTTTACAGTATTACTGGTAATATTTACAGTTTACTGGCAAAATGTACAAGTGCGCTGTAAATTTACAATTACAACTGTGCTGTAGTTTTAATAACAGTACATGAACCAAACTGTGATGCCTGTACTGTGACAGATCAGGATGAATACATGTACCATTAACTTACGAAATGTGCTTAACAACTGCTCTTTAACCCCGTCAAGATAACTTCAAAAAGTCATTTTTATCTCCACTGTATATTGGTTTTATTGTATGTCTATATCATTTTATTGTTTATTCAAATTGTATTATTACTATTATTAAAAGTTTTTGCATGTTTAGCTTTTAGAAAGTAATAATGACCCTGACCTCTGATCTTTGGCATGTGTTTTTCATCAGGTGTGTGGTTGAAGGCCACGCGGAGCTGTCGGATGAGAGAGAAGCGGGCAGACTTTGTAGCTGGTTGTCTCGGTGGACGGGTCATTGCTGCAGGAGGACTCGGTAAGTAACTGCTGATGATGAATAGATTATGCAAATCGGATCAACTGAGCTTCGAAAACCGGCAAATAAATCCACAAAGCGCACCAAAAGCTTTTCAGTTCGACCTGCAGCAGAAATGGCCTCATAATAAAATGCCATATCAAGCAAATGGATTCATTATGTCAGGTCTTTATGTGCATCCATGAATAAGTACTGTGTGCTAATGTCACCTAGCAACACGAAACTACCTCACAGTACACCATCTGCAACAATTACAGGCCACATCTCAACAACTTCATGAACTGTCCGAGCTTCTCTTAGGAAACGTTGACTCTTTGATTGACGTTCCCTGGTTTTATTCATAAGCAGAACTTGTTTTTTAATTGGAAAGTCAATTGACTCATGCTTAGCTTTATATAAAACAATGGCAGCCTGTTCCCTGGACTGGCATGACTTTAAACCAAATCATTTGTTCATTTTGTACTTTACGCTCCACTGAGGAGGCTCTGAATATCAGTCTCAAATACTGCCTTATTTCTTTCCGGTCTGTTTGTCTGTGGCTACATTACTAGAGGGAAAGAGAGAGAGATTTCTTCAATAAATGTCAGCTCAAAGAGTGGGCGAGAAATTCCTTCGTCTTTCCAAAAACAAGTCATATTTAGGGCAGAGCGTTACAGATTAAACATGGCACATTTTTATTTCATCTTTTCCCATGTCTAGAAATAGACAGAATTTCAGGCATCACAGGAGTCGATGGTGGATTGTGTACGTGCGTGAGCATCTTTTATTATTCATAAAGTGTGAGAACGTTCACGTTTGAGCGCTGAACTTCTTCCTTCATCACCTGCTTGCTCTTTCCTCCACCACTTGTGGTTCCGTCCTTATTCGCCTTCATGCGGTGTCTCATTGCAGGTGTCTTATTTTACAGCCTACTGCTCTTGTCGTTTTTTTTTTTATTAGCTACTGTTTTTGAGCCTTTTTTATGTCTTCATTCATATGGTTTAGTCTTTAGTTTAGTCTTTTTCCTCTGTTCTTCTTACAAACTGGTGTTGGATATTCAGGCCATATGGACATAAGTGCACACACACACACAATCACATAACTAGAGGAGATGATGCTTCATTCCCTGTGGCTCTTTGTGTCTTTTCAGAATTAATGGCTCCTATTAGGGCCATATTGTAGCTGATGTTCAGGAAATTGCTCTTCAAATACTTTGTCCCTAAATCATCTGTGGCCTCATTCAAATGTACTCATTTATACCCATTTATGCTCATTAGTTAAGGTATTACCACAGTATACAGAGTGTTGAACAAGGATTGAATGGATGTATTTTTCAGGGTACATTAGGAACATTTGGTTTGATTTGCTCCATGCATGCATTGTTTGTCATTCATTGTTGGCCACTTTATTAGGTATACCCATCCAGCTCTGTGTTAATGCACATATCAGTCAAACACATGACTAAAATTCAATCCTAGTTTGCTTGTAGGTGTGGTTAATATGATCTGTTGAAGTTCAAACACAATATCGGAATGATGGAGAAAGGTGATTGAAATGCCTATTCGCATGGGATTAGTATTATCTGATGACCTCTAGTCATTTGTAATAACTGGAGAAGTTATTTGTGTTATTTGTTATCTTGATCCTGTTTGAATCGGCAATGTCTGTATAGTAAACATTCCATCGCAAATGACTTACCATATTTTGCCAAACACTGTGGTTCTGTGATAGCATTAATCCAGTGCAAATCAGTATCTCATTGATTGGGCCAGGATTTGGCGGGGTCGTCTATAATTTATTTTCCTGTGCACCTTTTTAACCATCTTTCGCTGTGAATGGAGGCTGTGTTAAAGTGTTCATGTAGTGTTGTGAATTTGCAGAAAGAGAAAGCTGAATCATCATAGGTTATCATTATAAGAGCAAAAACAAAATCATGATTAGATGGAAATGTATAGATTATCAGTGTGTAGTTAGGAACAATGTTCAGATCATGATATTTGTTTCTTTTTTATTCATCTAAATGAATCATAGATATCCTATCTGGGAGAGTATTTAGTAAATTTGAGTAAATTGCCAGATAAAATTCAGATTTAAGGGAATTTATACAGTGTGTCCAGGTCCAAATAGACCTTCCGTGACTTTAAATGTGTCATGCTTGTTGGCAGGACCAGTACTGGACTTACAATCAAAAAAGTGTGAAGTAACTCCACTTTCTAGGGTAATATATTCATAGTTAATATATTTAATATTTACTTTTCCCCTCCATTTACAGTTTTGCCATTTTGTTCTGTGTATCTTAAAGGAGACAATTCTGTGAAAATTATTTAATCACATTTGGGAATGCCTTTTAGGCCAAAAACCTTGTAGTTTTTCTTTTCCTATACAGACAGTTTTGGACCAATTTTTTGGCATACTTGATAAATATGAGTGAAGAAAGCTGAGAAAATTATATGGCTGTATTGTTTTATCTTTAATTAAAAAAATCACAAGACATTTCATTGAAATAAAACAAATGAAAGTAAGTAAGAACTCATTATGAAATATATATATATATATATAACATATTGGTCCAACCAGTGTATATTGTTTTTCAACCTCAGTTTGATAACAGCTCTGTGAAATCCCGAGAACAAGCTGTAAAATCCCGAGAACAAGAGAAACCCAGAAAGAGATTAGGGAGCCCTTTTCCATTTCACTATACACTCACTGACAAAAGTCTTGTCTTAAATCCCAGTTGTAAGTGCAACAAATAATAACTTGACTTCTAGTTAATCATTTGGAAAAGTGGCAAAAGGTAGATTTTTCAGATGAAACATTTGTTGAACTGCATACCAATCATCACAAATATTGCAGAAGACCTACTGGAATCCACGTGGCACCAAGATTCCACTGAAATTAGTCAAGTTTGGTGAAGAAGAAATCATGGTTTGTGGTTACATTCAGTATAGGGGCGTGCAAGAGATCTGCAGAGTGGATAGCAACATCCGCAGCCTGAGGTATCAAGTCATTTGTGCTGCCCATTACATTACAAACCACAGGAGATGACAAATTTTTTTAGCAGGATAGCGCTCCTTCTCATACTTCAGCCTCCACATTAAAGCTCCTAAAAAGCAAAGAAGATCAAGGTGCTCGAAGATTGGCCAGCCCAGTTACCAGTCATGAACATTATTGAGCATGTCTAGGTTAAGAGGGAGAAGGCATTGAAGATTAAATCAAAAAACCTTGATGAACTCATCAGAGTCACACACAATATTAATCGACTTTATCAATGACACTATGACTTTATATCCTATACTGTACATTATTTCTGTTAAGTGACAGACTTTTTGGCTTTTTGTCCAATCAAAGTCAGACCTTACTGTCCTAATTAAATGATTAAAAATCAAAAAATAAATCATGATCATATTTTATTTTGGTAAAATAAGCGTAATCTAGAGGCCTTTGCCTTTCATATAAGCTACTTCTGATACCAAATAATCCACTTGAAGTCCAGTTATTATTTCTTATTCATAAAAATTGGATAAGTGACTAGATTTGTGTCAGGAAGTGTATTCTTTAGGTTTTCTAATTTTGCAGGATTTTCTGCAGGATTTCTTTATTTGTTTGTTTGTCTAATTGTGTTAGTGACTAACAATATGCTAGCAGCAATATGTAAATATGTAATTTTTCAACTAAAATTTACCTTTTTGCCAAAGAATTGAACTACGAGTCATGTAATTTATCATCTGAGAACACAACAACCTGGAAAGCTTTAATAGCTTAATTATCCAAATATGATTACAAAAAGCTGCTTTCAGGATTTCCCTAATGAAAATGAATGAATAGTATATGTAATATAGTATAAATATATGTAATATATTAAGCAGTGTAAACAAAGGTTATGAAATTTAGAAATTTGGATTTCATTGCTTTTAGATTTTTAGCATTTCTGTATGTTTGTTGACGATTCAGCTTTATATACTCTTTGTTGCCATCAGAAAGAACCATGGAATGTGTATCTGTACTGATTTTCCTTTCTGTTAAGAAATGCTGGGGTGCAGATGAGAATTGGAGTGAATTCATTCACAACAGATAAATCCAGTCTTTACAAAAGCAGCTTCTTCAAATCTGCTTTAACCAATATGTATTAGTGTGAACATAAGAGCGCCTGAGGATGTGTAGCAGCACACAGAGTCTCTCCACACGAGCGCTGGAGCACAGCTCGACGTGACACTTCTGATTACTGCTAGCGGATTCGCCCAAGTGTTTGTTCTGCCAGGAAATAATGATAACAATAGTCGGCGCACCAGCCCAGCCATATCATCTGCACTTCAATTTGACTAACTCAGTGGTGGTAGATACTGTGTGCTGATGTAGGTCTGAAGGCAGAACAGTGGGGGAAAAATGCTAAGTTGAACTGACCCTGGAGAAGATGAGATCATTTCCACCGTTCACTTCGACTTCAGGAGTTACCACAGAAACTTTGCTTGTATTTATTTATTTATTTATTTTGCAACATCAGACGAAAAGTTTCCTGAAGCATAAGCCACAGAATCTGCATGAGTTACATAATTTGGAGAAATCTGCATGGTGCCACCTGTTCAAACCTGCTTTAGTCCCAAAACCCACCAGGTGGCATGTGCTTCATCTGCAAGAAACATCCGCAGTGTGTGTGAGAGAGAGCAATGTACTTGTGGTATGCTAATGTGGAGAGGTTATTGTGTGGATTGAATGGCTAGAGAGGCTGTCTAGTGTGCAGTGTTTCTGTACATCTGCCTGAATATGTTGGCTGATCACGCTGAAATAGGCAACAATGAATGCGGAAATGGCTTGTAGACTGGGAGAATAGTTTTTTTGTGTGTGTTTAAAATGTATATACTGTACACTACCGTAACAAACAGTTTGGGGTTAGTAGGAGTTTTAAAAATGTTTTAAAATAAGATTCTCCTGCTCACCAAGGCTGCATTTATTTCATCAAAAATATATGACAAATTGTAAAATTGTAAAATGCTATTGCACTATAAAATAACTGTTCAAAAGGAATTTATTTTTTAATTTAATTATTTATTCCAGTGATTTTAATGATGAATTTTTAGCTTCATTACTTCAGTATTCAGAGTCACATGATCTTTCACTCTAATATTACATATTATTATTATTATTATTATTTTATTATCATTATTATTATTATTATTAATAATAATAATAATAATAATGATAATAAAATAATAATAATAATAATAATAATGGTAATAATAATAATAATAATAATAATAATAATAATAATAATAATGGTAATAGTTATAAAAGCAATACTGATTGGAGTAATAGTTTCATTTGAAACTACATACAAAAAGAAAACAGTTATATAAAATTTGAATAAATGATAAAACATTACAACAATGAACATTTTTTTACATTTAATAAATCCTGCCTTGAAAAACAAAATAATAATTTGCTTTCAAAAAAACATGGGAAAAAACCCTACCCCAAACTTTTGACTGGTAGTGCATATTTTTATTTCAATTAACACACATTATTTTAAATAACAGAAAGGACTTGTTTTAATGGTTTTGTTTTATGTATAAAACCTTCTTTGTGAAACAAGATGTTTAAATACATCGCGTTTAAGTACATCATACTTTCAGATCTTTTTATACAAGTTGAGCAATTTTTGCAAGTTGTTTTTGTAAGTGGTATTGTGGCAGAGGAAACCTGCAATGTAGACAGCATCTGATCGGTCAATAATCCGCAAGATGACAATTATTATGTGTATGGATGCAAAAAATACATTTTCTTAACATGAAATTATAAAGATAATACAAACATATATTACACTGTTTCTAAAAAGCTGGCAAAAATCTAGAAATCTGAACGATGTCCTGAGGTGTATATCTTAAAATATTAATTCCTTACATTAATATAATCTGGAGACGTAAATCGCTTTATACAGTTTTGTAGGGAATCTCCTCATTCACCACCAGTGGATGGTTAAACCCCAACTTTTTTTCGAAGGACATCCTGGCATTTTTATTGACCACAAAGAGTCAGGATCTCAGTTTAACATCTCATCTGAAAGATGACGCTCACAGAGCAGTATCAATATACAGGGGCTTTAGGACCCACACAGACCACTGGTCGTACGCCCCCTGCTGGTCTCACTAACACCACTTCCAGCAGCAACCTAGCTTTCCCATGTGCTTTCCAATCCAGGTACTGACCAGGCACAGTCCTACTTAGCAACCATGTTAGAGTTGCAGAGAGCTAGCTGCTAGCAACTGTGGTATAATCAGAATAACTCACGGCTGGTCATTGATTTATTGGAAAATAATACACACCCAAGAAATAACCCCATTTTTTAAATTATAGTTATAGACCTCTATTAAAGGTAACTTACTTTTAGGGCCAGACAGAATCTGCGGACATATTTTGCTATTTACGGCAGAATTTTGTAAAAAAAAAAAATAATAATAATAATAAAAAAATCTGCGGATTTATGCAGAATTAATTTGGGAGTATCATAACTAAAAACTTAATATGTTAAAAACAATTATACATTTTTAAGGTTTAATTCATGTTTACGATGCAAATCTTATTAGATCCATTTACAGCATTTGGTAAACAAAGCAAGTCTCTCATATAATATATCTACCAAAAGACAGAAATTATTACTTTACATGTAAATCATATGAACGTTTTTATATTAGTCAGTATTATTACTGAAATCAATTTAAAAACTGAATAAATATAAATTTACACACGACTAAATAAATAGAGTCAATCATGGGCCGAAAATCTGCGGATTTCTGCGAGCGCAGATTTCGTGTGGGACTACTTATCCCACTTATACAGTATTTAACTGTAAATTTTATGATTTAAATCTGACTAAGCCATCGTTAACTGGCTGTCTTTGACATTGTGATAACCTCAGCACATATCTGTGGGTTTTATACAGCTCTAACCATGATTTACTTTTTTTTTTCGTGTGCCGTCAGGTAACCAGCCATCCCCGCTGGCATCAGTGGAGTGTTATAATCAGCTGAAGAGGAGATGGGAACCCGTTGCCCCTTTACCCAGCCCTCGCTGCTCCTGTGCCTCCATTCAGACCCCCAACATGCTCTTTCTCATCGGAGGGGTGTCGCAGGGTCCCAGTAACGCTGTGGAAGCCCTCTGTTTGAAAGAGACTGTCTGACAAACACACATACAAATGAACAGCTACACAGATCCTCACATGCTGGACTTTCCAAAGTGTAAGCTCTGCAATCACACACACATACACACATACTCTGACGTCATGCTGATGTGTTTGTCTCTGACAAATAACTCACAGACTTTCCCTCAGAGGACACATCAGCTTTATACTTCGAATATTGGAGACAATCTACTGGAGCTTGAACAACGGTCCACATCTCTGGGCAGAAGAGTTACGGACTGGAGATTTAAGACAAGCAAAAAATACATAATAATTAATCCAACCTATATACATATATATTTACTATAGCACTGTATTAATAAATATATTTATTAATAGAGCGAATATTAAATAACACATATATAGATGTCCAGAACTACACAGACAGGCACACGCAACACTCCAGGCGCCTTTGAACTGTACTGCATTTTTCAGAATCAAAGCAGGGTAATTTTCTGGCAAACTAAAGAGGAACTTAGGGCCATATATCCACCACGCTGCCGCAGCCCGTCTGGGGTGGTATGTTTAGCACTTTTTGTACTATTGACAAACAGAGGATCCTCGGCGTGAGACTTCAGAAATGGGAGGCGGATGCTTGAACGTGTGTGTTTTTTGTACCTTCGCAGTCATGCACGTGTGAAACTGAGCATTAGGGTGAGTGGAAAATGGCGGATCACTGATGCCTCACTGTAGTATAAGATGAGAGTGTATTTAATCTTGACGGTTATTTAAAGGAATGTTCTGGGTTCAAAATCATCCAAGTATAAGAGTGTCTCTGACATACAGTGAGAAGCACTATCAGTAACGTTAGTGTGTTTCTCAGTTGGTGAAAACAAAAATGTGTTTGCAGTAATGCAATAATATTAATATTATATTTATATAATAGATGGTTATATCATGATCATATTAAAGAAATAGTTTGCCCCAAAATAAAAATAAAAATGTTCTAAACCCATAAGACTTTTGTTTATGCACATTAACGCAGCATTTTAAAATATTCTGATACCTACAATAGATCAAAATTTAAGTCTATCTGCTGTAAAATAAAAAAAATAAAAAAGTGCATCAGTTTAGTGTTTTATTGACACAAAAGTAGAGCTTCAGTTCCTACAGTTTATGTTGATTCTGTCCCTTTATTGTTGTTTAAAGTAGTGCACAAGTGTGTATTTCCAGTATTTAAATGCCTAAAGAAATAAATAGGATTCTTTCTGTTTTAACAGTTCACATAAACACAACACATATGCATTGTGGTTCTTTAGATATTTAGTCAATTAAGACTTCCTTGCTATAGTCTTGTGCAATACAAGTTATTTGTTATTTGCACAAAGCATTTGCATTGCTTTAGGATTTGGAATTAAACTACTGTAGTGACATGGATTCACTTAACTGAATTATTTGAAGCTTGACATTTTGGGGTGAGCAGAGTTTAAATGTAATTTCAGAAATCTCTCTAGTTTCATCAAAATATTGCCGGTGTCATGAAGATATTTGAAAGTCTTGTGGGTTTTAAACAAACTGAAAAGTAAATTATGGCAATTTTTTTTATGCCTTTAACTGCCCCACCAACAAAAAAAATTGCATTGCATTTCTTAACTCCTAATGTTGCTAGTTAACAAACTTCAATGCACATCAACACACGTTTCTCAAATGTCAAGCATTTGGTAGAGTTTGATATGTTGGTTTATGGTAAAAGTACCGGAATTAATACATAGAAAACTAAAAATCAGGAAATATGAAGTGTAAGACCTTTTTATCTGTAATAAATAATCAAAATAAAACATTTTTGTATACTAAATCATCTTTATTTTTTGAAGTACGCCAAAAAATATTTCAGATGCTCATTTAACATGTTTTTCTTGTTTTGTTTTTTTACAATAAAACCAAAATTTAGTGTAGTAGTGCAACAGGATTATGTTTGCTTGATTTTCTTGTAAACCAACAATGATGTGTGTGTAAACCATTATTTAAATGAACTTAAACATTCAATATTTAAAACATTCAAATCATGGTCAACCATTTGGTAGAGCAGGCAGTTAAAGTGAAATAAAAATGTATAATATTTAATCATTATTATTATTAGCATGGGTAATGTTTTATTTTAGCGATTACACTTTTAAAACTCAAACAATGTAATCTAATGTAATGCTCTCCCACCAGCAGGCCACTGTGTGTTCATTACTGTAAACATCATTTTCATTTTTACTACCTAATGTACTAGCCGAAACTATTTAGCAACCAATTTTGAACCTAGAACATTCCTTTAACACCAATAAAGTTTGAAAAGAATGAAAGTCTGACAAAAACCTTAACACTAAATTATTAGACACATTTTTTATAAATACTTAATAAGTAGACTGAGCAAAATTTCAAAGATTGCTCACCCAAATAAACACAAGAGATGTGTTCGCAGCTGGAGTTTACATGCAGTGATATTCATTTTTAATTGCAAGCAGTTTCTTCAGGGGTAAAAGCTAATTAAATCTAGTCAATGCAGTTGCGAGTATCAGTTCACATTACCTGTTTTAGAGTGACCGGTTAAAGGACGAGAGAGGAATTCTCTCATGGCACTGCCTGTAATTTTTGATGAGATAAAACCCTTGACGTAAGACCTCACATGCCTCATTTTTTGTTCACCGCTGCCATGTGAGGGTCTTGTTTTGCCCCCACTGATGATTTGACAAGGGTATCGGGTCGCTGAGCTCATTTAACACGCTGAAAACACAACTCAAGCATGTCAGGAATTCGCAATGAATAGTGACAGATTTGGATGCACTAAATTCAGGTGCAGCTTTGCTATGAGGGGTCAGCATGGGTTTGATTTATGTGTTTGTATAAGTATGTGCACCCATGCACCCATTATCATCACGTTCTGGTCTCAGACGGTTTGCTGACCTGTTGTTATGGGGTGATATGGCACCTGAGGGCATAATAAGACCATCACACATATTCATACTGAGCATTGTTTTAGTGTGAATGGCTGTTTGTGTGTTTTTTGGTTGAGATGGTGAGAATTGAATGTTTGTTTGGTTCATCAACTTACATTAAATTACTATTAAGACCCCGATATACTCAATGCAAAGCTTTTTTTTCTCTATTTAGAGGTAGAAAGAAGTATGAAATACTATTAACAACCATTCTGATCCCCTCCTCCCTGCAGTTTTAGAATAAAAAATAGAGCTGTGACAATATTCGCATTGCCATTCCTTCTTAAAATAAAACAGTGCTTTAAGGCTTGTACACACCGGGGTGCTTTTTGCCTATATTTATCATCTGTGTTTTTCGAGATGTGTTTCTCCATTCAAACCCAGGCTATTTTCATCTGTGCATCATCTTGTTTATTGAATGAAAGTGAAACTGGGATCACCTCAATTGTTTTGTACTTGTTTTTGCATCAATGTTGTTTACTGTAACTTCTGGGCAAAACTCCAGAGACATGAACAAAAGTGTCAGTGATTTTTGGAGAAGTTTTTGATGCAACGCATAAAAAATGACGTAAAAATTTACAGTTTAATGTCCGTTGTCTTGTACGTTGGTGTGCATGATCAGATTGGTGCTCTTTGTTTAGTCTTGAGGCAGTAAACACCGACAAACAGCACAAGCAAAAAGCATCCCATGGGCCTTCAAGCTATTTTTAACCATACACTCAAAGTGCTTGTGTGTTTGGCTGAGTCATGTACAGTAAATTGACAATGTTCGAGTTGTGTGTGTAAGGAATTGGAGGTGAGCTAAGTATGGCTGTTTGGAAAGCATACAGTGCCGTCTGCTAGTAAAAATTAAGCTCAGAATCGATTCGTGAGAAATGAAGTTTGAAAATTTCAGAATTGATTCAGAATCGATTTCTCCAACAATTTTTTGTCACAGCTCTAATAAAAACTTAATTATACAGAGTTTGCAATCAAAAGTTTTGTGTTTTGAATAAGATGTTCATTTGTGGGCTTCACGGTGGTGCAGTGGGTAGCACAATCGCCTCACAGCAAGGTCACTGGTTGAAGTCTCGGCTGGGTCAGTTGGCATTTCTGTATGGAGTTTGCATGTTCTCCTCGTGTTAATGTGGGTTTTCTTCCGGGGGCTCCGGTTTCCCCACAGTCTAAAGACTTGTACTATAGGATAAACTAAATTGGCCTTAATGTATGAGTGTGAATGCAAAAGTGCATTGGGTGTTTCCCAGTGATGGCTTGTGGTTGGAAGGGCATCCGCTGCGTAAAACGTGCTGGATAAGTTGGCGGTTCATTCAGCTGTGGTGACCCCTGATTAACAAAAGGACTGAGCCGAAAAGAAAATGAATGAATGTTCATTTGTGGCAAATAAGAAATTAGTTGAGCATTAATTTGCAAAACATAAAAATGACAATTTGGTATGTCAATTTAATCATGACAATTTAATATATATTAGACCTTAATTACTACATTATTTAGACTTTTAAAAAATCAGAAAACCAGTAATAACTTTGAAATAGTCTCCTAATTATTTCCAGATGTAAGTGTTGTGCATTTTACTTTCATGAACAAAATGAACAAGAAACTAAAAGAGAGTGAGAGTGGGGAGAAACAGCAATTAAAAAGCAACTGATTATAGTGATGTGAATTTTGAAAAAGCTCTGCAATTTGGCCCTTAATTCATGTCATGTTGATGCAGATCACTTCATATAGCAGATTAATTTAAAACAAGCTGCATTCCAATATTAAACATAAAAAATAGGGAAGTTGTTGCTTTCAGTTAGTTACATTTCAGTTTCTAATATAAAATGTCTCTTCAGTGTTTTTAGACATCTGAGCTTTTAAGAGATTACTCAAAATCAGCAAGACTGTGAAGAAAAGCTTTGATTGTCATGCACATCTTGTCAGGGAAGCACGCTTGTGTGATAAGTTGTAAATCTCCTCCGAAGGTCAGAAGGCACTCTCGTGATGAAACCCACAAAAAAGAAAGCCAGGAAATCCTTAAAGTGCTACATTATAAACAGAGGTTTCATCTGCTTTCGTTGATTAAGTGTGACTAATAATCACACCATTACAGAAACATCTCACAGAAGGATTTATTTCAAACACTCTACTGTATTTTTACTATATGTGGAAATTTCAAACATGCAGTGTTAACTACACAGATCCTGCTGGAGGTTTACAAGAACTGGCTTTACTGACAAAATGTGCATGAAAATAGTCTTCGATTAATTGGCCTTTCCAACCTTATATGTAAACATCACAGACTAATAATAATTTGAGGGTGTTTATCAGCCAAGTCAAACTATTAAAGAAAGTTTGCTTTTGTAAGCTCTTTCGAACTCCTGAATTGAACTTTATTTTGGCCTGATTGTTTTTTCAAAATGTTTCGCTTTCGTTTGAAGTATATGGGGGTCTTTAGGCCATTTCACACCACACAACAAAAGCCGACCAGCAGCAACAGACGCTTCATCTGGTTTCAGCAAATCAGTGTGTTACCCATCAACATCTGTTGGCATTAGTCAGTGCTTTATTTTCGCCAAACAAACATGTTCAGTTGCTTTTTGTTGGGTTGTGAAATATCTGAGAAGTGATGTACTGTAATTTGGTGGTTGGCGTCTGTGTGTAAAGCGTGAATCAGACTTTTGAAGCATCAAAATGAAAGGAACAACCTATTCTTTTTCTCCCCGATACCTGTGGTGTTGTGCTGGTTGAGGCTGATCTCATGTATCACATCACAGTGGAAATAGACACATATTTTCTGCCTGTATGAAGCCATGACAGACAGTCCTCCTGCTCGCAAACAACAGAGGATTGGAAGAATTGACAACACCAGCAGATGAGCTGTCAGATTTGATTTACTTTAGAAAAGATATATTTTTCTTATAACACTTTATAATTGGTCACACTTTATTTTAAGGTACAATAATCGCTATTGATTCACCACTATGACTATTTTCTTTCGTTAAACTCTGAATTTGCTGCTTATTAATATTTATTAAGGTAGTAGGTTTTAGGGGTGTAGAATAAGATCATACAGAATATGTACTTTATAAGTACTAATAAACATTCAGTATATTAATAATAGGCAGGTTATAAGCAACCTGTTAAAAGGGAGAATTGTTACTTAAACTAAAGTGTTACCTTATTTTTTTATTTGTTATGGTCATTAATGCAGTCTCTGCTGCAAATAGCGAGTTCATTTTCACTTTGTTTTCTGCGAGGTTAAATGTCACAGAGGTTCATATTTGAAGCCCCCTCCAGCACCGCAGGAGATGACAACGTGTGAATAGATGATCTGAGGAAAAGAGATAATGCCGAGAGAAATATACCTCTATTTTTTTTTCTCGTCTGTGAATTCTGCAACAAGACACATGACTCATCTTGGCAGAGTATTTTTTCGCTTTTGCTTGAGACTCATTTCTGCTGCCTCTACCAAATGGAAATGCTGAACATCCTTACTCTCATGAAAAAAAACAAATGTCTCAAGATGTTAAACAGGCTGTTTTCGGAATTCATTTGTCCTCAAGCTGAGAGCCAGAGAGGTGAATTGAGCCTGTATTTTCATATCTGGAGGTGCGAAATGTTTTATTTCCGAGGTGTGGACCTCTCCACAGTGCTTTAAATTACTCAAGGGACTTCAAATCATTGGACTTTTTTTTTTTAAACGCACAAATATGTTCAAATGTATTTCCTTCTTTACCCTTATTTTCATGTAAATCACTCTGGAGTAAGATCAGCAGCGTGTGATCAGCTAAACTCTAAGTAGCAGTTGTTTTGCAGTGGTTTTCATGTTTTCTCCTTTCATGTTTTGAATATTCTCTGTGGTGGGTTGTTGAACTAA